TTGAGCTCTTTATTTATAATATCAAAGTAGATGTTTTGGATTTGTAAATTGACACCAAAATCTGGCAATTAATTTATAACAACAGAATTAATGTTTTTGATTTGTTAGACTTGGAATTGTATGGCTTGTAGCGATAAACAGCCCTATATCAATGAGGCCCAAAAAGCGGAGCCTTCAAAAAGGCGCGAGTCTGAAAGATGCCCTAAATGCAATGCCATTCTTGCCAAAGGGTAAATTATTAAACAATGTTGTACATGTTCGTATTATTCTACAATCGAATGCCATTTTAGAGGTCGTCGAAAACGTAAATGCAAAGCAAAATCTAAAAACGTCCGTTTTGCGCGCAAAAGACTATCACGGGGAAGGCATCGTAGATCAGGCTCCAGAAGTAGGCGAAGCAGGTCCCATGGCAGGTGCAGAAAATAAAATGGGCAAAATAGTAGAAAATGATTGTTTTGGATAAAAAAATGTTTACATACTGGTTTGCATATATATGTTTGTACTGTTTTATTAAATATTTGTTGTGTTTGAGTTTAACTTTGAAGTACAATCAATACAATAGTCATAAAATAATTAATAATATATCGAATTTTTTTCCGATGAACATATATCAGTTGTGTTGAACAATTAATTTAAATTCGCTTGCCATGTTGCCCAAACCTAATGCATTATTTCCATTACACGTGTATTCCATTAGTTTTATTGTTATAAACGTTTTATTGTTAATTTCATATGTATAAATAATAGAATTATTAATACAATCGATAACAATTAATAACAACATAAAAAAAGAAAAGGACTGTACTGACGAGCAAACTAGAACAAGACAAAAAGTCTTACAAAAAGGGCGTTCCTGAAAAGGACAAGAAGTTCTATGATTTTTAGAAATTCACTAAAGGTTGGAATAAAGTATTAGGCGTTCTTGAGACGTACACAATATGTAATAATTTAAATAATTGCAGGTATAAGTTTGTTTAAAGATACCAATTTGGCCATCACAGTTTGAGGATTCTTTGCGTGTGAACAATTCTAACATGGCGGCAATGTGGCCAACATTGACGATTATTTTGACGTACAAAATAAACTTTCTATTATTTACATTACATTAAAATAGACATTATACATAAATGGAGTAATTTATAAAAATAAAAGTAATTTATAAAAATATTCCTGTTGAGATGATAAGATTGAAGATGATTATCAAAACCATATCAAAACATTTCTTTCTAAAATGTTACGACGGGAAAAATTCCTAACCTTATGCTGCAAGTATCACCTTAAATTAGTTAAATTTAATATCATTGATTAAAATACATGATTAATTAGTACACAACTGTTTTCTCTGTTATAATCAGGTATCTAATATATCTAATAATGTCAGAAGAAAAAACTACCTCGATTAAAATTGAACCACTAGAATATTCAGCAGAAGATCCTCAAAATGAAGAGGATATTAAGTCTGAATCTTGTTCAGAGAATGGAGAAACATGTCTGGAAAGATTTATGAATTCTAAAATAACTGTAGAGGAAGAAATCAAACAGGAATTAATGCAGGCTCCTATAAACCCTTTCGTATGCACAATATGTGATAATGCATTTGCTTTAAGACACCATTTAGATCATTCATGCCGGAGAACTTCTTTTGAAGTGCAAAATATGCAACAGAGACTTCCATTCATCAAAAGGTTTGAAACGACATATGTACACTCATACAACATATTGCTCATAACAGAGAACAGCCAATTCATTCTGGAGAACTTGCTTGCAAATGCAATATATGTAACAGAAACTTTCGCTCACCAAAAGGTTTGAAACGACATATGTTCACTCATACTGGAAAACAGCAACATATCTGCAAAATATGTGATAAAACATTCACACGATTGATTCGATTAGAGAAACACATGCTTATTCATTCTGAAGATCTTCCTTATAACTGTGGAATATGTAACAAACTATTTCGTTCCGTATATAGTTTAAAAAAAACATATGACTAATCATTCTGGAAATTTTCTTCAGAAATGTGGAATATGCAATAAATCATTAGCACAATCTGATGCTTTAAATGCACACAAGTTTATCAATTCTAGAGAATTTCCTTATCAATGTGAAACATGTAGCAAATCTCTTCATGCATCAAAAACTTTAAATAACCATAAAGCTCAAAAATATAAAGTACCTATATGAGAAGAGACACTTGGGTGCTCATGTGAAAGCCAGTGAAATATTTATAAACGGTTATTTCTGTAAACCTGCTCTAATTATTGTGATTATTCTAGTATTGTTTAAATTGATGTACACATTTATATATTGATCATAAGCTTTTAGGACATACAAGCACTTGGTTGTGCATTATAATTAATTTAATTACAGATTTTTTAGTGATATCAGTTCATGCAACTTGCCTCAAGGCAAAATGCTACTTACATCTAGTAGTTTTAGTTAAATTATATATCGATTTTATTAGCAATAATATGTTATTTAATGTCTCTTACTGTGATTGTTAATTTTAAATTTGCCTCATTTACAAATTTTCGTTATATTGTTCTTGTGTTGGCAGCATGTATACATTACGATTTTCATTGTTATGACATGACAGAATTGGCATCACTGGAAGGCTTTTGATATCAACATTCAACAAGACACGACGTTAAAACATGCTAATTTTGACGTTTGGCGGTCATACAAAGGTCATTGACCTTTGATCGTACTTTTAACGGACGCTATGAAGTTGGCGTCGGAACGAGTGTTTAGCTGTCATAAATTGATTGTACATTTCACGGACGACATGAAGTTGTCGCCGACAAGAATAGTTCGGCGAAAAGAGTAGTTTAAACCTGAGAACCGATTATGAAGATATAATAATATATGATGGAGATATCATATTCAAATATTTTCTAGGATCGAATCTTGCAAAGATGTTGGCCTTTAACGTCGAGATTTAGGAATTTGCAATAACAAATTATTCATATTTAATCTCTATGACAAATATTTGAGAAAGAACGAAATATAGTTATTCCAGAACATATTAAAACCAACATTACGGAGTGCTTTGATTTGGTATTCAAGTATTATAAGATCAAGTTTCAAATTTGTCATGAGTAGGGTCTCATTTGACTGCAGTTAGTTTTTACTAAACAAAGGCTAGGACGTTAATAATAATAACAAAATAAATTCAAACTAGGATTGAATGTGATAATATAGCCTACTGGCGTTAGGACAAATAAAACAATCAAATTTGCACCCACCTTTTGCAAATTATATACATTTTTAGTACTTGCACTACTCAATGGAATAAAGCAACATGTTTCAAATTTGTGTAAATAATAAACATGAGATTATTTTTGCTAACAATATAGCTAGTGTAAATGATAGCAAATTCAATAATATCATTTAGCCCAATGAATAATTTTACTAAAAATTATATTTAAACAATTTTATTTTAGATCAAATACTAATAATATCAAAGAATAAAAAAAGAATAGTACTTATTTTATTTAACATTTTTATTAAAAATCAATAATATATAAACATTTTATATTATTTGCAATATGAACCATGCAATAATAACATCCAAACGATATGAAGCATGAGAAAATTATCGCAAGCCAAAGCCAAACAGAAAGAAGTAGATACTGATTGCTTAATATTTAGATTTTTTATTATTAACTCTTTTATTTACAACTGTCCAGTAAAGGACATTCAGTAAATTTGATGAATTTAGGTGGAAACTTAAAAACTATACTACTTTCACCATCTAAAAACCATATTGTTAAATTAATAAGATTTCTATATCTTTCGCAGTTTGAAAAACCATGACAACTGATAAAATGTATTCATGTGCATATAGCTACATTATATTTGCAAAAGCTGCAGGTCATTCTACCTTAGAAAGTCATATGTATTAATTTGTCAAATTGATATAAATCAAATATAATGATGCCAATACAATTGGGTTTATTCTCTATTTAAATCCATTTGTATAATTAGTCGATGCAACATATTATAATATCCTATCAAGCAAAGATCATAATATACTGGTTCTTGATTGTGTACCTAAAAAAACAATTTATAAGTTATACAATACAGAATACAAATAATCAGTATATGTAAAGCACTACATACCTATAAAATGTTCTCTCGAGCTGAGTGGAGAATTGGGAATGGAAGATGGATTAATGTTAAAATGAGTAGACGGTGTAGCAGTTTGTGAAGATAAACACATGTAGAGAGCTGAGGTTGATGATGAAGAAGGTTGTAGAATGTTGTAGAATGAGGTTGAAGGTTGTAGATGTGAAGCCCAAGAATTGAAATTGTAAAATGATAGTTAAGATGTAGAGACATGTGAAATGGAAGAAGGTAAATTGAAGTGTGTAAAGGATGTTGAAATAAAATGTGCACGTGAAGGAAAGGATTTGCGAGGAACTATGTGGATGAACATAGGTGAACGGAGCAACAAAATTGATTGTTCGCGCCAGAATCATGTTAGATGTCGCCAGTTGATATTGGTAATAATCAGACAACACCTTTTCTCTGGCAATCCTCAAAGGTTTGGATGTAATAGCTGATCTGACGGGTGAACAAGCTCTCTCGCGTTGGCTAGTCACGTACACCGTTTTACTTGTACTTTTCCATATGAGTTTTTGTGATATATTTCGATCATTACTTATTACTTTATGAAATAAATACTTTTTAATCAGTGCAAGTGTTCCTTATTTGTGTTTGGAGTTCATTTCTTCCTCAGCATCCGAATTTAAAGCGAACTGAGATATCCGAACTTGAAGCCGCCATCCGACTGGACCGCCGAGCACGTAGAGAACGTCAAATATTTTGCTTAATATATTCAATAAGATCAAATCCTCGGAATAGTTATTGAGTAAAATCCAATTAGCTATTCCGAAAGGGTCTAACTAACCCCCATCCGTAACATTGGTCCTTCGACGCCGGGATCCTAATTTTGATTAGGATTTATTGAATATATTGAGAAAATAAAATCCAAGATGGCACCTAAATTTGACGTGGGTGCAGAGATTGACCGAATGACAGCGAAGAGCGAAATGTATTTTTCAATAATGCAAGAAACTTATGACCTTTCTCAACAAATTACCACCAATACGGCAAGTAAGTTAAAATTTCTTGAAAATTTATACCTTATTGAAAATGCACGAGAACAATGCATAAAATTAAACGACGAAATAAACAAATTAAGACATTTAGAGGATCCGAGTTTTGTTCCTGAGTATGCCGACATAAGGGCCTTGGAAATTTTGTACTCAAAAATCAAATATATAGAAAAAATGTTGGATAATCAAAATATAAGTAATTCGTCAATACCGGACAGTGTTCCAAATCATCATTTACCATCCATAGAAGTTCCAAAATTTTCCGGCGATATACAACAATGGCCTTTATTTTATGAAACCTTTAAAGCATTAATTCATGAAAATACAAGATTAGATAACGTATCCAAATTTCATTTTTTAAAAGGTGCGTTAGAAGGTTCCGTACTAAAAATTTTTAATGCCATACTACCAACTGCAAATAATTATCCGATATTATGGGAAGCACTATTAAAAAAATACCAGAATAAACGATATTTAGCCACCACTTACTTTAAACAACTCTTATCGTTTAAAACTATTACATCATCACAAATAGACTTATTTCTGGAACAATTCGATACAGCTGTACAAGCCCTTTCACAATTGAACCTTCAAGATGCATTTGACTTTATGATAACGTCTATGGCATTCTCAAAACTCGATCCCATTTTGCAGGAGAAATTTGAACATTCTTATCAAGGAGAATTTCCTAAATACCAAGATCTTCTCAAATTTCTTCATAAGTCGCAACAAGCGAAAAATCAAGTTTATGGTATGACAAGTATAACTAACAATTACACATATGATAAGCAAAAGGATAAAAATTCCAAAATTAGTCGATCATTTCTTTTAAAAAGTAAATACGAAAAGAAGTGCTTTGTGTGCCGGGAACAACACGCCATATTTGCATGTTCAAAATTACTAGAAATGAACATTCCTGAACGACAAGAATGTATAAAAAATTTAAACCTATGTGTGAATTGTTTAAGCCATAAGACGACAGTTGCGTGTCGATCGAAGAAAACTTGTATTATATGTAAGGCACCGCATCATACATTGTTGCATACTGATAAGAATCTTGCAAATACGAATCAAGATAATCCGTCGAATTCGAAATCTAATAACACAGTTTTATGCGTTTTCAACAACAACCAGCTGGCACATAATGTAACCATATTGCCTACTGCAGTAACGAAAGTTTTCACCGAAAATGAAAATATTTTATTACGTACGATAATTGATTCAGCAAGTGATAAAAATTTCGTTACATTAGCTTGGTGTAGAAAGGCCCATTTGAACGTTCAACCAGTTTCAGCCAAAGTAATTGGATTAGGAAGTTCGTCACAAAACGTAATAGGATTGGTTAACTTCACTTTAAAATCCACAATCAATTCATATCAATTGCCAGTATGTGCATACGTTGTGCAAGAAATTGTAAGAAAACAACCACAAACCACGATTCCAGTATCATCAATCCAATCATTCTTAAAGTACCCACTAGCGGATCCAAAGTTTTATGTGCCTCAAACGGTCGACGGCATATTAGGATGTGATGTTTTCAGCGAAGTTATGGGTACTAATAAGGTGAAAAATGGTCAAGGTTCACCTATAGCACTAGAAACCCGATTGGGTTATATAATAATGGGTTCGATATCAGATTCACTTCAACTTTCAAGTTTTTCCATGCAATATGATTGAAAATCTATGACTTTCTTTCTAATATACTATGTCTCCTTACAACGCTTCACTTTCGATCAAAATCCCGCCTTTGGCGTTTCCAGAACTACCTGAACACTTGATCCGACCTAAAAATTGGTTATGTTGTGTCGGTTTTGGGAACGAAATTATTTCTACTTAGTCCTCTCAAAGGATTAATATTCTCCATGGAGACTCAATGATAGTGGCCTTGTTGAGCTCAGTGATGATCCTCAACTTCCTACCTACACCTTTATTGACTTTGGCGGTTTTGCCTGCTCCATTGGATGGAAGAAAGAGTAGAAGTTTTCTAGGTGCCGATGGAGTGATTCGAGTGGTCCATATCCAAAGAATTATAAGGTTATAAAAGGTATCCCTTTTAGACTGGGGAATATGTTCGCGCCAGAATCATGTTAGATGTCGCCAGTTGATATTGGTAATAATCAGACAACACCTTTTCTCTGGCAATCCTCAAAGGTTTGGATGTAATAGCTGATCTGACGGGTGAACAAGCTCTCTCGCGTTGGCTAGTCACGTACACCGTTTTACTTGTACTTTTCCATATGAGTTTTTGTGATATATTTCGATCATTACTTATTACTTTATGAAATAAATACTTTTTAATCAGTGCAAGTGTTCCTTATTTGTGTTTGGAGTTCATTTCTTCCTCAGCATCCGAATTTAAAGCGAACTGAGATATCCGAACTTGAAGCCGCCATCCGACTGGACCGCCGAGCACGTAGAGAACGTCAAATATTTTGCTTAATATATTCAATAAGATCAAATCCTCGGAATAGTTATTGAGTAAAATCCAATTAGCTATTCCGAAAGGGTCTAACTAACCCCCATCCGTAACATTGATATTGGAGAGTAATGTCGAAGATGTGGACATATGTGAATTGAAAAAAGGTAAATTGAAGTGTGTAAAAGATCTTGCAGGTGAATGAGTTGCTGAAGAACAAGATTTGGCAGAAACAAAGGGTAATGAAGATACATTATTAGTAGCAGCAGGGATACCGTTGTGAATTTATTTAACATGCCTTATTAACGACGATTTCTATTTAAATGTGTTGTTGTGTAATGACCAGATATTAGGCAGTTCAGGTTTTAAACCATGTTTCTGTCTCATGTGCCAAAACAAAGACCCGCGAGTGGCGCAAGGTATCTGGCACTCTCGACAAAATGAATCTCATTCAATATTCATGGCGCAAACTTGATAATAATTGAAGGAATATAATAGAATATACGTAATAAAAAATAATGCTAAACTATAAATTATAATAAAAAGTCTAACCTAACCTAAAATCGAAGCCTAACCTAATTTAAACTTTGTGAATAAGGAAGAAAATAGGCGTTAAAAAAACGTGAAGAAGTACGAATAATAATAAAAAGTAATTAAATATTCTTAAAAAGATCCAGAAAATAATTAAACCTAATTGAAACTATACTAAAATGTATCCTAATCTAAATATACCGAATTGAAACTACACTAAAATGTATACTAATCTTAATATATGGAATATACGGAGTGATATAATAAACGAGAAAGCCTAAAAGAGTAAACATGAATGTAAATAGAAAAAATAATTAATTAAAAACAACGTAATAATATTAATAAACAAGAAAAAGTTCACTTGACAACAAACGACACGGACGCGTCGCAAAACGGAAAAGAACCGCCATATTATTTGACACGCTGACAGTTGATGCTACTTGTTGACAGTTGGTGTACGATTCTACTGTTGACAGTTGCAGTACGGTCAAAATTAAATGGCCGATTAGCAGAAATTAATGGCTCCTGTAAGTATCCTAGATGTGAAGTCAAAATTTTAGAAAAAACAAACACGTGTGCTGGCTTTTGACCGAACGTCTTGGCGCGCTAAGCAAGTGTGCGTGATAGTGTTGTGTGCAACCGTGGTGTTAGGTATTCGATATGAATTGGGAAACATTATTTAGAACAAATTGGTAATTTTCGCAAATGAAGCTAGTGTCTGTGCGTTTATTTAAACAATTATTTCTGTTCAAGAAAATATAGGCCGATTCTGAAAAGCGCCTTTGTGAGACTTTCGATTCGTGATGAAGAACCTTTGCGTCATAAAAATTGAAAGTATGGTTATTTAAGAGTATCAAGTCGCAGTCTTTTTGACAGTAGCTCATTGTACGGTTGTGCATGTATTGGTGTGTAAAAACACTGTGAAGTTGGCAGTGTAAAATTCAAGTCTGCCGACCATAATTGTGCTTCGCGCATGGGAATATCAAATTTGTCATGTCGTTCCAAATGGCCTTCTCGATCGGTACGAATTTTATTTTTTTCTGTGAGTAGTGTTGTAGATAGAGGTTAGGCCAGTTTTATTATAAGATTTTTATGTGAATGGAGTTTATCAATCATATTATTTGTTTTTTTTTATCTTATGTTTTTTCGATATAGGTAGCATAGGCTAAATGTCAAAGATAGGTTAAATTTCTTTTTAATAGGTTAGGTTGTGTATTATATATTTCACCTTTAATAAAGATTTTATTACAATTATGCATTTCATTGTTTTTGTTTAAATCCCATATGAAATATCAATAATATATCAGTAAAGTCAATAATGTACTGACAAATTTACGTCATACAAATTTATGTTATGTTGAATTTTAATAAAATATTCAATCAAACTTGATAAAAAAATTAAACTGTTTATAAATATTCATTCATACGAATTATATATATGCATGATATATTTTATGCAAGTCAAAATCAAATAGGTACTATATGACCATTTGTCAATATAATGTTAGGTTAAAAATTGCTTAGACAGCCGCATTACTGTTCGTGATTTTTGTTGATCTTTGTTGGTACACCTACATTCTTGACATTTTCATGAAATCTTCTTTCTCTTTCGTTTGACCGTACAATGAGCAAGGTCACAAACTTCAAAAAGGCTGCGGTAATCCGCGTGTTGGTTATTTAGTTTTAAATGTTCTGTGATCATTGTTTGCCCTTGATTTTTGTTTTTTGAATTATTATCGTGTTGTTTCTAACGTTTGATAAGGTTCTGTCCTGTTTCGCCAATATAGGTGGAATCACAGTCATTGCATGATATTTTATAGACCACATTGGATACTCGTTCTAAACTAGTGCGCGGCTTTAAATTTGAGAAGAGGGAGATGAGAGTTAGATCGATGTTGCATACTAAACGGAGATTTGCGTTGTAAAAAAGTTTTTTCCACATCGGATAAAGTTCTTTGATGTAAGGAAGGCAAATGGTACCTTCAAAATTATTATCTTTTGTGGAAATTAAACTTAGGTTGGGGTTAGTTATTTTGTTTTTTAAAAAAGTGAGTCTATTGTTTGTGACGGATTTTATAAGATGTGGGGGATAGGAATTTTGTGTAAAGGTTTTGAAAATTAAATCTAAATTTGAGGTCCAAAATTGTTCGTTAGAAAGGAGGATAGCGTGGTCTACAAGATTAATGATAGTACCTATTTTCATGTTCGAGGGGTGGTAAGAGTGAAAATTTAAGTACCTACCTAACCAACTGTACAATTTAATACAAAGTATATTTTATTTTGGTTCGACACATTGGCTTTTGAGTAATATTATATATATATATATATATATATATATATATATATATATATATATATATATATATATATATATATATATATGATATTCAGTTTTCAGGGCAATACATCAATTAAAAAAATTTGTATGACTTTAAAACATTTTTATCTATTCCATACGTTTCGACACATTGTTTTGTGTCATCTTCAGTGGACTATGTAATTGAATTAATCCTAATTATTTCATATTATAAATGTTCATAAAGCAACAAAAAACCAATCCTTGTCATTTTAAATTGAACACTATATCGAGCTCCGATCGGAGCTCAGCATAGCGTGATGTACTTTACAAATTCATAAAAACTCATTCAAAAATTTATATAGTGTTCAATTTAAAATGATAAGGATTGTTTTTTTTTTTTTTTTTTCTTTATTTGGCCTCTAATAACAATACAGCCACATACAATATTATATTAACAAAATTTATATATTTATACCACTTAATCTAATAAAATTCACCAAAATACTATAGCACTTTACACTTCTTAATATTGTAACTAAATTAACTGGTTTGTCTATGCAATTACACTCATGCAGCTTATTCAACATATCTTGTCTGTTTTTTTCAAATAGGCCACACTCCAATATTAAATGTTCACCACTTCCAACTGCTTTACCACACCTACATACATTCGAAGCTGCAACACCTATCCGATGCAGGTGTGATGGAAAGCTTCCATGGTTTAATCTTAACCTCGTTAATGTTACTAAGGTTCTTCTATCCTCGAATTTGAAACTTTCCTGCCACATTCTGCTTCCCACTGCTGGATTGCATATTCTATAATAGGCCCCTCTAGTCTCATTTGGATCTATCCATACTTTTTGCCACTCTTTAAAATTTCTATTTTTACACCGTTTCACATAATCCTTGTATGTTGCTACATGCATACTAGATCCATTTTTGTTGCTTGTTTTGCTAATTTATCAGCTATTTCATTTCCTTTGATTCCTGAGTGGGCCTTAATCCATATTATTTTAATGGTATACCCTATTCTCATCAGCCTATTAATATCGAACCACACTTCATAGAACAATATATCTGATGCCTGAGTTTTGTTGTATAAATTTTGTAGAGTTTCTATACTACTTTTACTGTCGGTGAATATAACTGTCTTCATTATTTTGTGCCTTTGAATTAACTCTATTGCTTTTTTAATAGCAAAAATTTCCGCAGTAAAAATTGAAGCAAAATCAGGCAGTTTATATCCCAACTTAATGTTCAAATTTTCCAAATATATTGCACAACCCACTTTCTGATCAAGCTTAGATCCATCAGTGTAAATTACATTGTAATCTCTTATTTTTGTCATGTTTATATTAAAAATATCATCAGAAATGCTATATATATCCAGATAAAGTGTATTATAATATGGGTGTTTTGTATAATTGATACCTTCCTCTCTTATTTTATTTACATACAAATAGCTATTAACTAGGCATGGTTTTTTTTGCTTTTTCCAATACTTATATATTGTAGTGTCTATTGAAATTTTACCTACTTTGTCTATAATTTGATTATCCTGTATTATTATTTTTTTAAGTATAAATTTGTCACAAATGAACTGTCGTCTTAGGTATAAAGGCATCTCCCCACTTTCCACTAAAAGGGCATTAGTGGGAGTGGATCGCATAGCCCCCATACAAATTCTCAAACAGTTATATTGAACTTTGTCCAATACCCTACAGTAAATCGAATTATTAAATACAATACATCCATAATCAAAAATGGGTCTTATTAGTGTTTTATAAAGATTCAAGGACGTAATAGGGTGTGATCCCCACCATGTACCATTCGTCATTCTCAAAATATTTATTCTTTTTTCTACTCTTTTAAGCACATAATCCATGTGTTGTTTGAAAGATAACGTTTGATCAAATATAACCCCTAAGAATTTGCTATATTTTTGTACTTAAATGTTGTGATATTTATCTTATCCACATGATTAATATTTCTGTGTCTTGTATAAATACCAATTGAACTCTTATTATCTGATAATTCCAGACCTTTCTCTTCCAGCCACACATGAAAGCGATCAATATTCTTACTCATTACCTCACAAGTTTCTTGCAGGCTTGCTTTTTCTACGTAAATAACCACATCGTCCGCATACTGCAAAATTTTTGTTTCTGGCTCCAAGATCCCTTCTATATCTCTTACGTATATCGCATATAATAAAGGGCTTAAAATACCTCCTTGTGGTAATCCTTTATATATTTTTCTTGGTCCAATTATTTTACCATTTATTCTAAAATATACTTCCCTTTCAAAGATATTATTAGTAACTGCCCTAATAAAATTACATGGTAATCCAATCTTTGACATAGCTTCTGATAATGTTTTAGGTAAAACATTATCGTATGCACCCTTGATGTCACTAAAAAGTGCCACAACATACTTATTTTTCGCAAAGGATATATGTAAGTCACTAATAAAATTACTTAAACTATCCTGTGTTCCCATACCCTTCCTAAAGCCAAATTGACTTTTTGGTAGTATTCCATATTTTTCACTCCACCACTCCAGTCTTCTTTTAATCATTCTGTCCTTTACCTTTGAAACACAGGATGCAAGAGAGATCGGTCTATACGTGGAGATCTCATTCGCATCTTTATTAGGTTTTTTGATTAAAATTGTAATATACTTATTCCAGGCCCCAATTAGTTCCGGATTTGTCCATACTTTATTAAACAATTTTAGTAAAATCTCTTTTGCCACCATTGGCAAGTTTATGAGCATAGAATAAAATATTCCATCCATACCTGGTGCGGTATCGGTACCTTTAATTAAAGCAATTTCTAATTCCCACAATGTAAAAGGTTTCACTAATAGGAATGTTTCGCGTCCAAAAACATTTTTATCCACTTTGAAATAGTCATTTCTAACACTAGATGGAGCATAAGAATCAATAATTTTATCAATCATACTTGGGTTAACGTTTTCTTGTAAATTTTCAGGTTCTATATATTTTTTCAAACATTTAATTGTCCTAAATACTTCCCTGGTAGACGTATTTGGTTTAATATTAGTAGTATATTCATGCCAGCTATCTCCCTTCTTTCTGCTGAATATCGTTCTGACTTCAGCATTAATATTTTTACATATTAAATAATTATGGTAGTTAGATTTCTGCCTATAATTTTTTTCTGCATTTCTTCTTTTCCTAATAAGTTCGTCGCACTCATTATCCCACCAAATAGGTTTAAAGTGTTTAATATTGGAACATATTCTCTTTTTTGGTATACTTTTCTCCGCTGCAATATTGATTATGTTCATAAATTCTGTATAAGCAACAACCGGGCATTTACTTCAAAATCATTTGAGTAATACTCGATTACTTTTTGATATTTTGTCCAGTCGGCAGCTTTGCAGTTCCAATATTCCCTAGTTCTATTTATAATAGGTGTTTCTTTCAGTTGCATAATTATTGGATAATGATCAGATCCAAGAGAATCTTCCCTGACATTCCATACAATTTTATGTGCCACCTCGTGAGTACACAATGTAATGTCTACCACTGCTGCACTATTCTTAAAATTCAAAGTCGGACTCCCGTCATTTAAAATAATTAAATTGTTGTCATTAATAACTTCCAATAAGTTATTGCCACTCTTATCATTCCAATTACTCCCCCATGCCATATGATGTGCGTTAAAGTCACCACAAATTAAGTAAGGTTTGGACATCTGACTTAATAAATCATTCCATTGACTAACAGAAATATTATAGTTAGGTACAATATATACCGAAATTATAGATAGTTGATGTTTTCCTGCACAAATTTCTATACCAGATATTTGAAATTTATTTATATCAATTGTTCCCGTATTAAAAGCTAATACTTTGTTTATAATTATTTTATCCTTAACTAGAATTGCAGTACCACCATACCCATCTTTTCTATCACTGCGTACAGTCTTATATCCCCTGAGCGAAAATTTCCTATCGCTCTTCAACCATGTTTCTGAAAATGTAGCAATATGTACTTTGTTTTCAAATAAGAAATGCTCAATACTACTTTTGTTATGTATCAAAGACCTACAGTTGAATTGTAGAATATTTGTTTCCATAAAATAAATTGTAATTGTGATTGTATAATTTTCTTTTGCACATTTTCCATGCGCTCATTAACCTTAATTTCTCCTGTCGTTGTCCACATCTCCCTCACTACCTATTCTATTCATTATCTCTCTTAACATTTTGTTGATGTCTTTATTGTTAGGTTTGAGGTGTTTTTTCACTAGTTTGATAAACAAATTCAAAAATTCATCCGTATGTTCTTCATTGATGTTCTTTATGGTATCTACTTCTTTCTCTTTGTCTTTGTCATCATCTTCATTCCTTGTGGCTACTTGATATTTTTTCTAAAATCTTCCCTATCTGTATGCACCTTGTTCCTTTCACTTGATTTACCTTTCGATTTATCTTCTTTTCTATTATTTATATTGTTATATTTGGTTCTTTCTTGTTTTTTGGCGATGTTTCTCTTGAAGGGTCTTGTAGATGTACGGTACAATATTGATGTGCTGGCCGATACCGGTTCATCATTGTTATCTTCCAGGTCAGATAAAATTTCAAATTTATTTTTAAGAATGTTGTTGTTAATTTGTGACCTTTCCCTGATTCCTGCGTTTATCACTGGAAAATTCTTTTCTTTGTCTAAATTGGTTAGACTACCTCTGGTTATTCTGGCATATTTGTTGTTTTCTACAACTGACCTTGCTTCGTGAAAAGCTAAGTTTTGTGTTGCCATTATTTCATATATTTTCTTATATTTCATAAATATTGGGCATTCCCTATTATATGCTGCATGATTACCAAAACACAAGCAGCATCTTAAATCGTCCGTATTTATGCATTCTTGTAAGGCGTGATTTTCTGCGCATTTTGGACATCTTACCTCTCCTCGACACTGATCACGAACGTGGCCGAATCTCCAACATTTGTGGCATTGTATTACTTTTTTCACGAATGGTGTTACTGGGCATTTAACAGAGTGGATCGCTACTTTTTCTGGTAATTTTGTCCCTTTAAAAGTGAGTTTAACACATTGTGATTTGTTTGTTTTATGATTTTCTTTTTTTGATTTTATACATTTTACTCCCACTATCGGATACTCGGATTCAATGACATCCACAATTTCTTCCTCAGATAATTCGCTATCTACGTCAAAAATGATTCCGGTCCGCATCGTTAAATATTTAGGGATATACTCTCTTAGATTATTCGACTTAAAAAAATCACCATCTAATAGTCTGTTAGCTGTCACACGATTACTTAAAATCAATTTTACTTTATTTTTGCCAATTACTCCAATTTCTTCCAAATTTGTTTTCATATTTGGCCATGCATCATGAATTTTTTTCCAAGTGCCATAGGATGCAGGCGTCCTATGTTCTTATTATAAGATTCTACGTATATTATATATGGTCCTTTATCGTAACTGTCATATACTGTTCGTAGTTGTCGGGCATCATTTCGTTTTCTTTGTCTTTAGATTTTGTTATTTCACTCGAGTCCTCACCAGAATCATCAAATTGCATTACGTTATCTACCTCGTGAAAGTCATGCACCATTTTATCATTCTGATCATTTACTTCGGTATTACTCGACCCCGCACTAATATCTGCATTGATCATTTCTTCATTGTTTGCATAAGTTGTTGTTTCACTCAAATTCTTATCGCACTCATCAAATTGCATAACGCTACCTAATTCTTGACTGTCCCGATTTGCTTCAGTACTCTGATTGATATTTACATTATTCGATACCATAATATTTTTTTCATTGCTTGTTCCTTCTATATTATTATATTTTGAAATATCACTATTATTTGTTATCTTAGACGCCGTGTCATTGTTATTATTTCCCACAGTAGTTATAATATTTTCGGTTCTCCTCAGTTTGATTGTACTTTTGCCAATTACTTTATTCATTATTTTTAATTTATTATCTCCTTTAATTGATTTATTTTTGTTACTGTTCTTTTTATCTTTACTAATATTTTGGAAATTTTGGTAAGTTTTTTATACTTATGTAATAATCTGTTCTTAATTACATCTTCCTCACTGATTATGCTACTAGGATTTTTGTTTGAATTATAATGAACTTCTAATTCTTCTTCACTAATTTCACTCATTACCATTTCACTATCATAACTATCATTTATCGTATTCATTGCCGTTGCAATGGTTTTACCGATCACAGAACACTTAGTTGAACAGTCGGGCGGGCGTCCGCCCTCTTGCCCATATTGTCCGGATTCCATTACGTCACTTTAAATAATTCACTGAACGCTTATCGATGTTACCT